ACAGTATAAATGGAAGTGAGAGCAGGACGTCCAACAGAAAAGACGTGTTTGGCTGAGGAAGCTACGGCAAACGTTATGAGACTGCTGACGGAGACCATCGTGGTCCTAGGGTTCGTTTGGAAAGGAAATCCAGTATTTCCTTGCGCCTTGATTCCTAGAAAAGCAAGTAAGCCGATAATTATGAAGTTAAGATCGGATCCGGGCATGAGTGCACTTTCTTCCCCAAATGCTCCCGGCGGGTAATAGTTGGTCCACAGGTTATGAAGAGAAGCCATTGACCGTTGTACTGGACCAAATATAAGGGATAATAAGCCGATAGATCGGGAAGGAAAGGTTATAGCGACGGATGGACTATGGTTGGTTGGCGCATCAATGGTGATAGAGCTCTCGACCACCACCGGAACAGTATCATTCGTAGATGAAGTCATCGCACCTTTCTCAACACCTCTTAACGGTCTCTTCCTCTTCCTCTTCATCGCACCTTTCTCAACACCGCCTCTTCCTCCTCCTCCTTGCTCCTCGACGGTGAGATTTTCTTCTTGCTCACAAAAACCATCTCAGAATCTGCTTATATAGTCACAGAACAGGAAAGAAAAATGTAAATAAAAAATAAGGGGTTTGACAGAATAATTATTTTGTTCGTGTGAATCGAAAAGAAAGTATCACATACGAATATACCAATAATTCATTATTTTCCTTCGTTTTCTTTTTTCCGTTAACGATACTACACTTTTCTTATTTACCTTACCTATGCTTTTGTTTTCATTTCCCGCAAAAAAAAAATGCTTGACAACAAAATAATATTAAATCTAAGAAATCGAAAAGTATCTGGTTGGATTAGATTGGATTGAATTCAAATGATATGGTTGGAAATAAGAAGTTCGATGCTAAGTCTGTGAATATCAACCATGTTTTTGAACGTCTCTTAGTAATATCAATGTCAAATTCTCGATCGTCATCAACGTTACACACAACAATGTCCAAAGGATGGTTAAAACAATCTTACAACGAAAAAAATATGGACTATAAAAAAGAAGCATTTTTCATGTTAAACATATACTCCATTCATTTTAAATTCAGTGTTTACATTTCTATTTCAGTTTGTCTTAAAATAAGTATCCACTTTTAAAAATAAATTTTCATATTTCCAATCTACACTTAATTATGAGATGAATAAAGTTTATTTATTTATTATTAAAAGTAAAAATGTCATTTAATTATTTAAAAATATATAATTATACATTTTAAAAATTATATTTGACTTATATTAGCATGGCCAGACTATGGGAATAACAAGTAGATTATTAGTCTCAACATTTTGAAGGGTTTGTAGCAACTTCCTAGAAGGTGCTCGTAGCTTTTATGAGTAGCTTTTAACTTCCAAATAATTTTTTATATCCCCTCTTCTTCTTCGAATGAATTATATTTTTGTCTCTACGATATGTCAGAAGTTATTACTAGAAAACCGTTATTAACAAGGTCTCGATTGATTTCTCCTCCTTCAACTACCAAATGTTTCAATTTGCTAAGTTTTAAAGGTTCAAAGAGCGCAAACCAGCTCTGATAATCAGGTTAATGAAAATAAAAGTTTGGAGTGAATTTTTAAAATAGTTTAAACGTTGAAGGGTTTGTTTTGGAAAATTTGTTTTAAAATTTCACTCATGTAAATAAAAATATATATGTTTTCTTTTTATTTCCTTTGATTGTTTTTGGGATAAGAAAAAAAAAAAGAAACTCCTTATATGATTTTATTTGATAATTTGTTGTTGAATTAAAGTCTTCATCTACTTGTGTTTTACAAGGTAAGTTTTAATTCAAAGCCTTATTTGAAATAATTTTATTATGAGTTTATATCTATTCTTACATTTTTTACCTTAACTCTTATTTTCACACGATTATTTACACATAAATGATGAAAAATAGTATCATTTTGTTCACATATGCTCTTCTCTTATTGAAGTAATTACAATTATTTTTATCAAATATTATTTTATATATAAGTATTTAATTTTAAATAAAAATACAAAATGACTAATTTATCTTTGATAAAATGGCACATGATGTATTTATTGGTTGGGAATGAGCCGAGCCGAGCCGACTTGTATTGTTAGTTGGACTATGGGAATGAGTCATCAACATTTTCTATGGCAACTCCCAAAAAAGGTGCTTTAGAAAACTTATCCCGAGCTTATAAATAAGTCAATTTGTAGTAAATAATTTTTTATGTCACTTCTTTTTTCTTTTTTATATATTTGTATGATGGTAAGATCAAACCTCAAGTCTTAAAAATTACGATAAAAATATAATATTTTTCAAAACGTAATTTATGGTGACAGATATCTATATCATATGTAATATTATACGTAATTATATATTTTGTACTATTACTTAAGGGTCGTCTACCAAACGCTTACTCAAGTATGTGAATGCGAAGTTACAGTACCTTATAAGATGAATATGGTAAGGACCAATAATTTTATCCGCTAAAAGCGAGACAAGAACCAAGGGTCTTACACGGTAATATCTTATCGGGTAAATTGTTGTATACGATATTGTTTGATAAACGGCCGCTAAGATTAAAATGGCAAAAGATATGTAAAAAAACCAAGATTTAAACAAAAAATATAATAAATTTGTACAAATAAACAAGTGTCAACTATCAAAGTCAAAAAGTTAGGAGCAAATATATATATATATATATATATATATATATATATTAAAGAAGAAATCAAAGGTAATGAGGTGACACCTTCTAATGCTTATAACCCTTTCTATCTTTTTTTTTATTTTTTTGATTTTTTAAATGTTGAATATGTTAAACACTTTTTTGCCCCTGAATGAAAAATGTATAGCTCATAATTAACACGGGTTATTTTTGTAATTTTGTATACCCAAGTTTAACCTCCAACTCTTGATTTGCTCTTCTATTTACTTTCTTTTATTTCTTAATGAAATTTGTTTTTTAAAGTTTCAATAATAAACAAAATAAAATCATATAAAATCCTTTAGTGAGGGATGAAGAAGGTGAAAGTTGAAAAAGAATTCAAAGATTTTAAAAGGTATGTAGATATTATATTCATTAAAAAAATATAATTTGTTATTACATATTTCTTTTTCAATATTGTTGGATGTGTTGTTTATCATAAGATATGATTGTGTTTACTCATATAAATTGTGTTTACGATTTGATCATATAAATGCAAATAAAATTTTGATATTTTATAATCACAGGATATAATAAACATTTTTCGAATTTAAGTTTCATCAACAATAACTATTTATACACAACAACTATTTATTTATCTTCATCTCTCACATCTTCTCAAATTATATCTCTATTTTTTATATTTTTAAATTTATTTTCTTTCTCTTTGGTTTTTCTTCTATTTTACTATTGATAATCTTCATAGTTTTTTTTT